ACCATCACCATCATCATAACCATCATCACCAACATCACCATCACCACCATCACCATCACCATCACCACCACCATCACCATCACCACCATCCATCATCACCACCATCACCACCACCATCAACATCACCACCACCATCACCACCATCATCACCACCATCATCACCACCATCACCATCACCACCATCATCACCAACATCACCACCACCACCACCACCATCACTACTATACTATTGGCAAGCTAGTGGTTCAGGATTGAACCAAGACTCAGGAAAGTCAGAGCTGAACACATGCAAGTCTTTGCACACTTTGACCATTACCGATGGTGCTTTCAGTAACAGCTGGATCGTCTCTCTGGGAGGCCGGCTGCTGCTGTGGTTGTGAGCTGACTTACCAACCCTGGTGGCCTCGGGCTGCGAGGCGGCTCTGCTGCTTGCCTGCCCCGTGATCTCCCTTCAAACTCCTTTCCGCCACCTGCAAAGAGGAGCTGCCTTCGCACAGGAACCGTCAGAGGTTCAGAAGAGATTGCAGCGATCAAGTCCCTCATTCAGATACCGGCCGATCCAAGGTGAGCTCCACACTGGTGGGTTGCTTCCTTTACTTTGCTACAAACAACTTCAAAAACAGGAAAAAAATGAGCGTATTTAACAAATTTTCGGGCACACACCGAGTGATCCGTAAATGTTCGTTCTCACTACTTTTACTGCTGTTGCTGTTGTGGACACCATCGTATCAGTGTCCCCTTTCAGGTTTCTAGGCCTTCTCCAACCTCAGCGCACACTGTGCACACTGCTTTGCTCCTGGTGCTCTGTGTAAGGACTGATGGTTTCGACAGCCTCTCCGAGGAAATGGTTCTAAGAAAGCCAGCCCCAGAGTGGAGGGCCAGCTCTGCCACGGTGGTCTGCTCTGCTCTTCAGTCCTGGGAGGCAGCGCTCATTGCCAGTGCTTCTACACGCTATGTAGCGCTTTCCAGGTAAACATTTTGCAGGTAAATGTGTTGCATGTTTCCAGAGAGCAGCTGTGGAGGACACCATGTCCAGCAGAGAGCGTGGCTGGGTGCAGTCTCTGTAAGCAGTGCTTCTCCCCAGACTGCAGCCTCCTTGGAGCAGGGCCACCGTCCAGACAGCTGGTCGCTGCAGCTCAGAAGAGCCAAATCCCGGGACAGGGAGAGCATCTGGGAACTGGTCACAGCAATCCTAGCCACGTGTACCACACACAAACATTGTACACACACATCACACATAAACCACACACACACCACACACCACACACACCTCACACACACCACACACACTACACACATACACCACACACACTCTCTATACACACACCACACACACACCACACACACACCACACACACACCACATACATACACCACACACACACCACACACACCACATACATACACCACACACACACACACACACACACACACACACACACACCACTGTCATTTTTAAAGCAAAAAAAAAAAATAGCCAATTGTTTGTTTTTTGCCAGTAAAGACTCAGGTGCCAGATGCAGGGTGAAGCTGCTGGTTTAGGAGACAGAGAAAGCACTGGCTGCCCTTCCTCCTCAGTCAGCATCCCAGAAAGGAAAAGCCCTTCCTCCTTCTCCACACTGTCTTAAATACCCTCCACTCAAAATCCTCCTTTCTGTTACTCCCTGTCAGCTGGTTTCTTGTTCTTGTTAACCCTCTTGACCTATGGTTGACTTTATTTAATCCAGTGTGCAGACCGCTCTAGGACTAAAGGTGTGTGCTAGGACTGAGCCACACCCCAGTACTTATGTTGGTATAATGTTCTTTTGAAATGTTCTTTTGAACACCTTACCCTTGTTCATTCAAATGCTGATTTCTCCCCCTCCCCCCTCTGTTTTCAATCTGGATATTGCATTGTGATACTTATTCTAAGCATCCTGTCTCAACTCTGTGTAAACAGGCCAAAATAAAGCAACTAGCCACAATGTTGAGCAATGGGAGGAGCCTGAGGACAGGAAAGAGGGGAGGAGCCAGAGGGCAGGAAATGAGTGGGAGGAGAAAGGGCGAGGAGAGAAAGGAGAGCCATGCTGGGAGGAGATCTTGGAACTACATAGAGAATGAACCAGACCTAAGATTTCACAAAAAGCAAATATAATGGGTAAAATCTAAATATTAGAAAACTATGAGGGCTTGGAGGTTTAAGAGGGAGTAACTATTGCCCAGCATTGTGTTCTAGGTTAACTAAATAAACCCAGTCTCTGTGTGGTGATTTGGGTAAACAGCTGTTTAGGAATAACAGCAGCTTTACCAGAAGATATATCAATAGCAAGTATTATTCGTCACTTATAACATACTTGTTTACAGTAAACAGAAAGCCCTTGGTTTAAAGTCTGAGCCATACCGCAATTAGAAACAGGTTTTTACAGTTCACAATCTCAGGGTTCAACAGTGTGATCAAACATCCCACACCAAACACACCACCCTTGAACACACACACACACACTTCATTTGAACATCACAACACTTTTAAATTTCTGTTTTTTATTTCATTTTCTGTGCTTTTGCCTGAGAGAGAGAGAGAGAGAGAGAGAGAGAGAGAGAGAGAGAGAGAATACACCACTTGCGTGCCTGGTGCCCATGATAATCCAAAAGAGGGTGTCAGGTTCCTTGAAACTAAAGTTACAGATGGTTGTGAGCTGCCATATGGAGGCTGGGAACTGAACCCAGGTCCTCTGAAAGACAAGCCAGTCTTCTTAACCTCTGAGCCATTTCTCCTGCCCCTTAAATTTCTATTTTTATTTTATGTGTATGGGTGTTTTGTATCTGTGCACCACATGCCTGCCTGTGCCTGGGGATGCTAAGGAGGGCATCAGAGCCCCTGGGATTGGAACTACAGATGGCTGTAAACTGCCATGTGGGTCCTCTGAAAGAGCAGCCAGTGCTCCAAGCCACCTCACCATCTCTCCAGCCCTCCCTTGAGGTCATTTTATAAGGATCCTGTAGACAGATGCTGTCCTTCCCAGTTTGCTGAAAAAGAAGTACAAATCAGGAGGGGATCATGGCTCATGCCTGTAATTCCAGCAGTTCAGAGCTGAGGCATGATTGCCACAAGTTCAAGCTCAGTTCCAGCTTCTGGGTCAGACCCTATCTCAAAAACAAAACACAAAAACCAGAACAAGAGGAAAAGGAAGAGGGGGAGAAGAATCTCAGAGAGGCTAAGAATTTTCTAGAATTATTCAGCTAGCAGTAGCAGAGGTAGTATCAGGGTTTCAGATCCTATCACACCATGTCTTTTGAAGACAGAAAGCATCTTTTATCATTCTGCTACTTCATACAACTCAGGGCATTAGGCAGTTGATCATAACCCATATCCCTGCAGGAGACCCTCACAGCTCAGCAATGCTGTACAGACAGGGTGGAATGGAGAACAGGACCCAGCTCACCTTCCCTCCCAGGAATTTCTTGGGCATGATGAAGAGCAGCCTACAGCAGAGCTACAAGCTGTGGCTCACAGGCCTTTGAACAAAATACAAGCACCCATTAAATACAAGCAGCCATCTAAAACAGCCAAGACTTTCAATTCCTTGAGGCTTGGACTCTGCCAAGAGAAGCTGAAGTGTTTTTTAAAAGATTTATTTATTTTATTATATATCCAATGTTCTGCCTGCATGTACACCTGAACACCAGAAGAGGGCACCAGATCTCATCATAGATGGTTATGAGCTACCATGCGGTTGCTGGGAATTGAACTCAGGACCTCTGGAAAAACAAGCAGCGCTCTTAACCTCTGAGCCATCCCTCCAGCCTGAAGTTGAAGTTTTTATTCATTGACACCCAAGTCCAGTTAAGCCGCAGAGATTTACAAGAGAGCTGAGTGAGGTGGTGCATGTCTTTAATCCCAGCACTGAGGAGGCTAAACCTCGAAGGTCTCTGTGAGTTCAAGGTCAGCCTCATGTACAAAGCTACACACTTCCGGGCCAACTAGAGCTACATACATGGTGAGCCCTTGTTTTAAAAAAAAAAAAAAAAAAAAAAAGTTAAGGCCTTCTAGAAATTTGGCTCAAGAGAAAGCAAATATTTGGCTTGCAGTGGAGTGAGGTAATCCAGGGCAGTCTTGGTCTGAGTCCCTAAAGCCCCCACCTTCATCGAGACAAGGGAGGGAGGGAAACTCAGAGCACCTGATCAACCCTCATGCGCAGAGGTGCCTGAGGAGCCCTCAGTCTGTAGCAAGACCGTACAGGTACAGGTATTAACCTGTTTAATTCTCAGGACGGCCCAAAGCTACGCTGCGTACACCATCATCTGCCTAGAGAAGAGGAAGATGCTGATGGAGCCAGAACCACAGCTGAGCGAATGGCTCAACACCAGCAGTGCCTTGCACGTTTCAGAGACGTGAGCGTTTATAACGGATCTTCCCTTGGTTCTGGCTACCATCGTCCACGAGGTGAGGTGACTCACCCAAGGTCACAAAGCTAGCGAGGGGTCTGGCATAGCTTTGCTGCCGCCTGAACCAGGAGCAGGCTTTCAGAGGGCAAGCAGCTCGCCAATACCCCGGCTTCTGAGCACCCAGCCCTTCCCTCTCAGGCTGCCGGCGGATCCCGGCCTGCGACCCCGGGAGCTGTCCGCGGTGCTGATCCGTCCCCGCTCGCCCGGCTGCCCGCGGCGCCTCCCTCGCCAGCTCCCGGCCGGGGCCGGCTCCGAGGATTCTGCGGCCCTCGGGGCGCGGGGGGCCCGGCCGGCGGGGCTCCCCCGTGTCCCGGGGCTCCCCCTCCCCCGCCCCAGCCGCCAGCTTCCCCTCCCCCCGCCCCGCCCACGGCCCCTCCCCGCGCGCCCCAGGTCCCTCCCTTCCCCCTTATCTCTCCCGCCCCCCGCCCGCTCCAGCTCGTTCGCCAGTTCCGGTCACGTTGCTGGGTGTTTACGCCTGGAGCCCGCCCCGGTCCCCCGCCTCTGCGCCCCGGAGCCCCCCGGAGCCCCGGAGCCCGCGCCCCACAGCCTCGCAGCAGCTGATGGCGCCGCAGCCGGGGCGCGCGCTGCGGATCCCTGAGCGCGGCTAGCGCGGGGGAAGAGCTCTGCCCCAGCCCCGGCGAGGCCCGGGCCCGGCCCGCCGGCCCTCTCGGGTCCGCAGGTGAGGAGGCCGGGCGGTGGGCGTCGAGGGTGGGCGCTGGCCGGGTGGCCCGGGTAGCGAAGAGAGCACCCAAGCTCCGTCTCCGCCCGGAGGGCTGCGCGGGGTCGGGCACCGCAGCGCGAGGGAGGCGGGCAGGACGCGAGCTGCTGGCAGAAGTTGTCCTCCGCCGCCAGACCCGGGCCCTTCCCGGCGCAGGCGGGGAGCCCAAAGCAGTCCTCACGACCGCCTGCCACCTCCTACCGCTCGCACCGTCCTGCCTGCTCTTCGTGTCCTAGCTGGTCCCTCTCTTCTCTGTGCTCTGTGGTGTCCATACCGTCACCTCCCCCACCCCCGCTCCCCATCAGCTGGCTCTGGGAGTCAAATTCGAGGCACAAACTGCAGAACATTGAGGTTGAAGGGGAGGGGGGTCCAGTTTTTCCCCGACACCCCACTCCCACGTACCTGAATCCTCAGCAGTGCTGAGATTGGGGTTGTGGGATCTTCGGTGGAGCTGGGAGCCAGAGTTGAGAGGGGTGTTTGGGAGGAGGGACTGTGGAGAGCGGAGGACCACAGGTCCCTGGAGAATGTGTCTCCGCCACCAGCCCCCACCTTCCAGACAGAGTCCCAGACATTTGTCAAAGGCCAAATCTTGGTTCCAGACTCGTCCTCAGGCAAGCCAAGGACTTAGTGGGGGTGGCAGAGGAATTATTTTTTAATACGTGTTCTTACTTGCCCTGGTGATTCCCGCTGTTGGCTGTGTGGTTGTTTCTTTCAAGGGAGTCCCAGAGTCCAAACTGCCAGCCAGAAGGCTACAGCAGGCTAGGAGAGGTCAGATTTCAGGAGACAGAAGCTGGGCGGAGCGTAGGAAGCTAGGGGATGGCATTAGTGAGAGAGTTTGTCTTGAGAGCAAGAGGTAGAATCCAAAACAGGACTTTAGCCTGCAGACGTCAAGTGTGGCTGCCTTGTGAGAGGCGTTATGTTCCAGAGTGACCACCTGAACTGTCTCCTAGGTGGATGTCAGTCTCTGCACTTCTGTGTGTCAGGCTTGACCTCCCTGAGGTCCGATTTCTTCATCTCTGGAGCGTATGTACTAATAATGCTGACAACAGTGCTGAGAGTCGCTGTGAGCTAGTGTTACTGCCTGTGCCTTCAGGCCTGGACTCAGCAAGGCTTCCGAGATCCGCTCTCATCCTGCTCTGAGCCTCTGAGTCAGATGGTGAAGAGGAATAATGACTGTGGATAAAGAACATATCGATTCGTCTACTTACTCATTCATTACTCTGCCTCTCCAGCTCCTATATCTGGTTTGGTTATAAGAAACAACAACAAAATAAGTTTATCATTCACATAGAATCAAGGAGTCAAAAAAACAAGAAACAAACAAACAAACAAACAAAAAAAAAACAAGAAACAAGAAGCCATACATTCTTAGAGAACATTAAGAATGGTGCAGAGATATTTGTTGACCCAACAATGTTTTCAACCCCAAAGAGAAAAGCACTGAAAACGAAATTGAAACTGGGACAAGACAATCAGTCAAGGCACGAGGCAGGGCACACTGAAAACTGCATGTGCTCTGAGATCAGAAGGCTCCAGGTGCTATCTAGCCTGAAGGAAAGATGGCCGGAAGGAAAGATGGGGCAGAAAAAAGCTGGGGAAGGTAGAACAGGCTGAAAGATGGTGGGTAAGGAGAGACTTAAGCATCTCAGGGAAATTTCGAATTCCCTGAGGGTTGGTGGCAGCAGGAAGATTGCCAAGAGTTGGAGGTCAGCCTGGGTTACACAGGGTGTCCCAGTCCTTCTTGGACTACAGAAATAGATTCAGACTTTTGGTTGCAAGCATTCTTTTTCTTTTTTGTTTGTTTGCTTGTTTGTTTTTCAGACAGGCTTTCTCTGTGTAGCCCTGGCTGTCCTGGACTCACTTTGTAGACCAGGCTGGCCTTGAACTCACAGAGATCCTTTCAGGTATCTTTTCTTATGCAAAAGTTTTTCATAGTAAAGATCACAAAAGGGGTCTGGAGAGAAAGAAAGAGCTCAGGATATAAATTCAGAAGACTTAAGTCTAATCTCAGATCCCAAAGTGGAATGAGAGAAATAAATTGTTCTTTGACAGCTCCATGTTCACATGGCCCAGGGCCCCACGCACTCACCATACATGTGTGTACACACGTGCAGTAAAATATCATTAAAAGCAAAGCCAAGCAACCCTACAGATGCGGTGGCATGTGCATACATGTTTTTAATGCCAGCGCAGATAAGCAGAGATAAGCCGATCTCTGAGTTGGAGGCCAGTCTGGTCTACATAAAGAAACTTGGTCTTGGGCTGGAGAGATGGCTCAGAGCACTAACTGCTCTTCCAAAGGTCCTGAGTTCAATTCCCAGCAACCACATAGTGGCTCACAATCATCCATAATGAGATCTGGTGCCCTCTTCTGGCATGCAGGTAACACGTAGACAGAGTGTTGTATACATAATAAATAAACAAATAAATCTTAAAAAAAAAAATGAAACTTGGTCTCAAAAAAAAGAAAAAAAAAAGGAGCAAAGCCACCAACCCTACCCTCTGGCATCTGAAACCCCCTCCGATACTGAATTCTAGAGCTCTATAGAGCAAAAATTGAAAACCGCTGGCTGAGATAAGTCAAGTCCAGAATGCCGTGATTCTGCACTTGAGAATCAACCCAAGGAACTCTAAGAACTGAGGAGGAGAGAGCGCTAAGTTCCCTGTGCTCCGTGTCAGCTGTGGGCAGGTGGGGAAGGAAGTGGAACCCCAGAGACCAGCAGGGGTTGATTTGCCAGGGTCAGGAGACCAGCCTCAGAGATGCAGAACTGTGAGATGGTTTAGCATGTAGGGTATGAGGAGGGCACTCGTTGCCAAAGCTGATGGCCCGAGCTCCATTCCTAGGACTCACGTATAGACAGCTTGAACTGACGCCCTGAGGTTGTCCTCTGCTCTCCACACATCCTGTGGCATGCATGAGCTTGCCACACGCACAAAGAAATAGATGAGTGGAATCTTTTAAAACCTTTAAGTCAGAATTCTGCCAGGACCAGAAGGTCCCTGTGCCGGCTGCTTCGCTGATTGCTGAGGTGTTGAGAACCGGAAGTCTTTTTCTACCACCTTTCCCCGAGAGAAGAAATACGTGCCTGTGAGACGTGTCAACAGTGTTTAGCATTTTGCACCTTGTGTCACAGGTTCTTTTCATTCTTGGTGATTTGTTTGTTTTTTTGAGGCAAGGTTTCTCTGTGTAGCCCTAGCTATCCCGGAATGCTCTGTAGACCAGGTTGGCCTCGAACTCACAAAGATCCACTTGCCTCAGCCTCCCGAGTGCTGGCGTTATAGGCGTGTGCCACTTGTAATACCACCCAGCAATGATATTTTTTTTAAAGATTTATTTATTTATTTTATGTATGTAAGTGTTCTATCTGCATTTACACCTGCCAGAAGAGAGAATCAGTTCACATTATAGATGGTTCTGAGCCACCATGTGGTTGCTGGGAATTGAACTCATGACCTTTGGAAGAGCAGACAGTGCTCTTAACCACTGAGCCATCTCTCCAGCCCCAGCAATGATATTTTTAATTACATTTTTGTTGCATTTATTCTGTGTGCAGGAGGGTGCGCCTGTGGTGACAGACATGTGCAGGGAGAGGAAAGCTTGTGGGAGTGGGGTCTCCCTTTTATCATGCTGGTCCGGGTCTTGTACCTGGTAACAAGCACTTTACACACTGAGCCGTCTTTCCAGCCTCTTGGTGATTTGTTGTTGTTAATGGACTTTTTCATCAAGCTACAAACAACGTGGGAAAGAGCTAGGAGTACAAGGCGTAGAGACACAGAAGCAAGGCAGACCTTGAGGAGGCCAGGACGGTAGACAAAGGCCAAGGATATGAGACTCAGCATGTGGGCTCAGGGAGAAGACAGAGCTGGCAGTGCCAACCCTTCAGCTGCTGCCGGCTGCCTAGACAACAGGACACAAGCTTCTGGTGCCCAGGGTCTGGACTGCTGCTCTCCTGCCTGGGCCTTGCTGATGGACTTGCGACTCCTCAGCCACATAGACTTCCAGTTGCTCCTGGTTCCCCCTTCCCCGTTCCACATCCTCCCCTCCCCAAACAACCCACACAGTAATGTCTAAGAATGAAGACTTGCCAACATCATTTGTGACCCAAATCTCTGCCCTAAGAAGAAGGAGCAGCCCACCTAGTTGGAAGCGAATGATGGAGCCCATCTGGGAAAGAACAGAAACAGCTGCTTGGCTCAGCCTCTGCGGCCAGCACCCAGGCCCCGGGGCTCTGGGAAGGACCTTCACCCTCCATGGTCACCTGCGAGGCAATGAGTGGGGACAGACGTTTTTCTCTCTTCCTCCGAGGGTAGGCCCTGCACCTTCACCTTCAGGTCTGCACGCAGCACCCACACAGATGTGAGCAGGCAAGAAACACACCCGGGCCTTAAGAAGTTGTTCCATGATACGGCATGTGTGAGGCCCTAGGAGCACAGGCTCTTACACAAGTGTGTGCACACAAGCCCGTGCTTCCCAGTACAGACATACGGCTCATCTGGCTCCCCTGTATTAGACCCCAGAGTATTTGAAAGTCTACCTAGCATCTGTCTTTTCTTCCTCAAGGGCCCCTAGGGATGTCAAACCAAATGTGTCTGTTTTGATCTAGTGAGTTTGCCCTCAGTCTACAGACTCCCTCAAATCCGCTCACTTGTGCATTCCGCAGACGTTTACTGAGTTACTCCTGTTTGCCAGGCACCGGGGAACTGCAGAGAAGCAAGAGCCCGTCATCTCCTGTTGCTGACAGTCTGGCTAGGGAAACAGATAGTAAACAAACGTTCCATGTGCCAGGGGGCTCGTGAAAGAATAGTGCAGAGGAAAGAGATGGGTGGCCAGAAAAAAGTCTGAGGAAGCAGCATTTGAATGAAGATGACAGAAGGGAGGCACCAGGCCACGGGGTTAGACTGGTGAAAGCCATCCCTGCGGACAAGACAGCTCATAGGAAGAACCCCGGGCAGGTATGCTT